CACGGTATATAACTTAATAAATATTATGTATATAACTTACATTATATACATAATATTTATACTATCGCTTGTTAACTGACAAATTAATGATAATTATTATATAGTGCTAAGGTTTTTAAGTTATCTTATAAATAAGTTTAAACATAAAAACAGGCAATAAACAAAAAAGAAGAATATTACACAACAATACTGTCAGACTATACAATTAATAATTAACAGAAATGAAATTTATATTACATATCTTTTATACGCATGTGTGTGTGTGTGTGTGTTTGGTTATCTCTTGCTTAATGATATAATAATTTCCTTCTTAATTTCCGTCTTCATGGTACATTTTTTATTAATAACTTATAAAAAAATTATAGGCGTGGTGTCTTCCTTGAAGCCTAAGATGTAATTGGATATTCCGTTTATCCACCCTAGGGTGGATATTCGGAAACGCGTAAACCCTAGATAAGGTGGATAGTCGGAATCTGAAGTCGTATATTATTTTTCTTCCGATTTTCTACCCCGCCTGTGTACAGTTATTTATAGAAACATATTCCTCCCAACCCTTTCCACCATCGGAAAACCAAGCGGTTGTCAGGCCTCACCACTTTGTTATATTGTATATTATATGATATATTCCACGTATATTTCACACATCCGAACAAAACGCAAACCGTTTCGTCTATTGAAATGCGTGCAGCAATTTAGCAATTTACAAAACGAGCACACGGCTCACATGATGGTAACTAAGTGACTACCGCCGCCCATAACTGCAACACCAGGGGAATTGCAGATGCAATGCCAGCCTTTTAAATTAGAGTAGGCTTTTTTCTTGAGGGTCCCTAAGTCGTATCGGTCCGGAAAAATTGCTGGTGGTATGCATTTCCACAAGGAGTTGTGCGAGGAATAAAACTAATTTTAATACTATACTAATTTATATTATCTATACATATAATAAAAATGTAAATAGCAGATGTCTGTACATTTTATATTTTTGTAATAGAAGTGATTGATAGGTACTAAAAATAAGTAAATAAATACATTTCTACCATTTTTAGATTTTTCTGTCTGTCTGTCTGTCTGTCTGTCTGTCTGTCTGTTTGTTTGTTAACGTATCACGTATAAAGTACTAATTTATATCATAAGAATAGTTAAGGAAATTATTAAGTGTATATTTAGGTTACATTTAGTCTTTATTTCATTAAAATTGGTTAATTCCATCAAAAGTTATGACAAATATTCTGAAGTATGGGTACTAAGTATAGGTACGAATTTGTTCAATAGTGGCGTTGGATGAGTCATCAAGTACATTTTAAAATTAATATCATATTATAATTCATAATTAAATGATATAAAATAATGTTCTATAATGATATAATTATATCTAAAACGCAGTAAACAAAAGTATTACATAAAGAACGTAATAAATATATACAAAATATATTAACCTTATTATCTAAACTAAATTAAAGTACAATAGTTAACCAATTTCATCGATAGATGGTGGTGTGGCAAAAATGTGATACAAAAGGCAGGTTAAAATTTTTGAAATCAAGTTCATTTAATCTTTGTTTTATTGAAATTGGTTAATTCTATCGAAAGTTATGATTATTATTTTGAAATGTAGGTTCGAATTTGTTTAATGGCGCCACAAAATTTCAGAAATAGTAATAAAAAGATTCGTGTGTAAAAAAAAAAAACGTTCTATTATAATATATTTCGTATCGTTCTATTATAGTACTTAAAACACAGTAAAAATATGTATTCCTTAAATTAAAAAAGAATGTTTTCTCACAAAGAACGTAATAGATGGCGTTGTACAAATTACAACCTTTTCTGAATTGCGGTGTTAAGATTTTTCACAGGTGAATCGTATTGAGACTCACTGAATGTCTGACGAAGGGTGTAGGTTAGACAATACATCACAATAATCATCAGAAACAAAAACAGGAAAAAAGAGATATCGAAATATTCAAATTGAATTACTAAATTATAATATTAAATTAAATTATTAAAAAATACTTTTAGTCGAATTGAATTGAATAATTCAATTCAATTCGACTAAAAGTAGCAAAATTGCAATAAATGTCGTGATAGTGATATTGTCTTATACCCAGAATCCCTCTAATACCAAATAACTTTCCTTTCAGTTTTAAGTAAAGTAAAGTTGCAGCTTATTTACGTCCCACAGCTGGGCACAAGCACAGGCCTCCTCTCATTCCTGAGAGGGTTTTAGGGCAATGAAATGTCCACCGCGCTGCCCCAATACGTGTTGGCGAACTTCACATGTCATCGAAATATTTTTTTTATTTCTCAGACAAGCAGGTTTCCTTACGATGTTTTCCTTCACCGCCGGGCACGTGGTAAATGAGCACTTAAAATTGCAATTAACAATTTAATTGGTGCCGGCGGGGATCGAACCCGAGTTGCTCGAGTACTGTAAAGCTTACAGCGAGCGCTAACCACAGAATACTTTACTCCTTGGCGCTAACCATCTGAGCTACCACGGCTCAGGCTTCAGTTTCAAGATAGGGATAATAACATCGATGTTCGATGTTTAGGCTACTCAAAACATCGATGTTGACCATTATCGATGGTTTTTGTATATGTGTAGATACTTACACATTGTTTCAAAATTATGTGGGTATACACAGCAAGGGAAAAGTAACAATTAACTTGAATATCAATTTACGTAGAATAGTTATTATGCGACAACCGACAACGACACTACAAAATAAAGCGAAAGCAGTGACCATTGTGACATTACAGGAGACACTTGACAATTAAGTTTGACTCACCATACTGACATTTTTTTAGGTTAACGATGCGTTCAGAAATTCTGAATTGTACAAAATTTTTAATCTTCAGAGCAGATGCAATATTTAGTTATATTGATTTCGCGAGTTCTCATTGTTTGCAAGTTCCCAATTATCGATTATGGGTTCATTGACGTCGATGTTTCGATGTTTGACATATGTCAACATCGATGTTAAAACATCGAAGTTTTAATTTTTAACATCAATGATCATCTAACATCCCTATTTTAAGTGTGTTTCTCACTCAGCGTGTGTTATACGACGATCGTAAATAATGCGCAAGGTCAAACTTTACGCGTTGCAGGAGTGGACCTCAGTACTGATTGTTTTGCACATGGCGAACTCTGTTTGTTTTTCCCGCGTTAGTAGTCCCCGTAACCTTTTTCTGTACGCCCCGGCTAAGTCTACTTCTATCGTCGTTTACACAGAAGCTCTATCATAAACGACTTAGAACTTTGAGCATATCGATTTATTTTGTTACCACTTATTCATACAGTAATGATATAAATCGTTTAATATTCTCTTACCCTAAACGTTAAATTCTTTAAGTAAAACCTATGTCCGCGAGCTACGCCGCGGGCACAGCTAGTATATAATATACTAGCTGGCCAGGCAGACGTTGTTCTGTCCTTTCCGAAGACCCTTCCTATAAACAATTATTAAATTCGCAATAAAAAATAAGATTGAGGATCACTTATCGGGATAAAAACTATCCATCTCTCAAGTTAGACCAAACTGCACAGTGCGCAAAATTTTATTGAAATCAGTTCAATAGTTTAGGAGTTCATCGCGGACAAACAACGTGACACGTAATTTTTATATATAAAGATGTACATATTATAAATTATAATAAATTAGTTATTATACCATATATTATAACTAATTTAAATAAAGTTGCCTGCGTCTGTCTGTCCATCCGAATATAATCTAGGTGTCTTCAAGGCAAGAGTGAATAGGTTTTTGTTACGATAAGATTACGATTTTGTTACGATTTACCATCTAGACCCTAGATTCTAGGCGTCATCACCACTTACTGTGATTGTAGTCAAGCCCTGGCTTATAATAAGTAACACCTAAAACCCCATAGAAACTGGCCCAAGATACTTAGTAGACATTAACATAACCTATAAAAATACCTACATACATATTTTTGTTTGAAAGGCCTGAAATAGGTTTAATTTAGGTACCTATCATTCGACGTGACATTTGCGTCATTCTAGAGATACTTATGATGACAGATGTATTTACTCTTGAACTGTACTTGGGGTAAAAATTCGCAAGAACAATAATATACGAATTCCGATTATCTACCCTGTCTGTGGTGGATATAAACACACGTTTCCGAATATTCTAGGGTGGCTGGGTTATTCCGTTTATCCACACAAAAATTCCACTCTAGGGTGGATACTCAGAAACGCATGTTCATCTATCCACCTCTGACGGGGTGGATAATCGGAATTCGTATATTATTTTCTTCCGATTTTCTCCCTAGACTGTGTAGTCGTTTGTAACATGATAAAAACTGTTCTAAGATACTTAGTAGATACCTATTAGCATGCCTATAAAAATATATACATGCTTCTTGTTTTAAAACTTCAACGCTGAAATAAAAAGAGTACCTCACATGATTGCAGACTCATTGGAATCTTGGCATAAAGCAGTGCAAAATGAAGTTAAAGACAAACATCCAAAAGTTTTTGGAATGCTTACATAAAACGCCCAGCTTATTGCTTACACGTCTGATATAGTAACAAAGAAATTTAAAAAACGATTGTTTGCAAATGTACATTAAAAGAAACGAATTTATCAAGGATATCAAATTACGTCTACTCTATAATAAAATTAATGTTAGTAATTTCCTGGACATATTGCTGAATTCACAAATTACGTTATAATATTGTTTAAAACGTGTAGCGGACAGCGAAGGAGGCCGCCGCCCCGTCGCCCCTTCACACCTCGTTGCGCCCTGCGCACCCCGCACACCGGCAGCAGATCACGCGATGTCGCCGACCAATCAGCGCGCGGCATCGCCTTACGACGCTACTCACGAACCGAGACGCTCTCTTGCCGGATATAAGAAGGATTTCGATACCACTGCGATACAATATCGTCTCAAATCGCGATCGGCTGTCGGGCACAAGCAATAGAGCGGGTACACATTGGGCGCTTTGAAACGCGCGATTTGAGATCCAAAAGTCCCTATTGAAGTGTACACATGCAAGCGCGCGCTTCTGATCAAGCGCGCGTCGGACGCGCGCTCTCAGAATTTCGTTGGAACGCGCGTTGCGCGGGCGTCAGCTGCGCGCTTGTAGATACATGCACCGCCATTTTGCTGTACATTTTTGATCGCGCGCTTTCGTGTAGGGTGCACGTATATCATGGAGATCGAACACTTCGATACAGATTTATTTATCGACGAAATCCAAAAGCGTCCAGCTATATGGGACATGCAAAGTCCAGATTATAAAAATAAAATATTAAAAAAACGTAATTGGGAGGAAATAGTTGAAATTTTTAGTGACTGTGAAGACAATTTGGAAAAGAAAAAACTGTTGGGTGAGTATAATTATTTATTGATGTTTTCTATAATTATATCATGTTGTTTTGCCACTGTAATTTTCACTCGTTCACAAAATAATTGGCAAATTTTTCTCTTGCTGCACATAAGCTGCCTCGTGGTAAATTTTCTAAATGTATAGATTGTAGAGGTGAAACATAAAGTTTATCTTCATATCTGTAACCATCGCGCATTCGAACGTAATTATGTAGTACTGTGCAAGCTTTGATGATACTCTCCGGGAAATCTATGTTTACATCTATCGGTCTATGAAATATTCGCCATTTATTGCTCATTATTCCGAAAGTACATTCAATATAGCGCCTTGCTCTCGATAATCTGTAATTGAAAACTTTTTTTGTGTGTTTGAGTTGTGTTCCTCCATACGGCCGCATCACATTCGACATAATTCCAAATGCTTCATCGCCGACGAACACATGAGGCAATGGAGTTCTATCGATATTTGATATAGGCTTAGGGTTAGGAATGTTTAACTTATTATTCACAATCCGTTTAAAAAATTCGGAATTTTTAAAAATAGCAGAATCACTGGTTTTGCTATAGGATCCGATATCAACGTATACAAAACAATAATTTGCATCACAAACTGCTAGTAAGACTGATGAGAAGTATGTTTTATAATTGTAAAAAAGCGACCCTGTATCTTCTGGTTGTATTAGCTCAATATGTTTCCCGTCAATCGCACCAATACAATTTGGGAAGTTAGCGTATTTCTTAAAACCTTCTTCTACTTCTTTCCACTTTTCTGTTGTCATTTCAGGCATAGATGTAAACTTCAATTTGCTCCATAGTACTTTACAAACTTGTTCCACTATCTTTATAATTGTCGATTTTCCAAGACGGTATCCGTAATGCAAATAAGCGAAAGAGCAGCCTGTGGCCAAGTATCTGTCAAAATAAAAATGGTTATTGTTTATTTTCAGGTGGTACACTTATGAAAAAATGGAAAAGCATTCGGGACAATTATCTTAGAAAGTCTAAGAGGCAAAAAATCTTCCATCTGGATCTGGATCTTCCAAACATACGCCATACGTGTATTACAGGAAATTACAATTTCTTGCGAATTCTATAGCATATAACGACACAGAGAGCAATTACCAATCTTCTGGCACAACTGGTTCAGATGTAGATAATATTATAGACAATGCAGACTTGATGCCACCTCCTAAAGATCAAATGGAAGGCCCAAGGAAAAGACAGAAAATAAATGCTGTAGATAAACAAATAGTCGACGTTTTACTGAAAAGTTTAAATGCAAGGGAACAAAATGAAATGGGGCGACTAACTAAAGAAGACGATGATAAACTATTCTGTTTATCATTGTACAGTGAATTAAAAAAAGTGCCCGAAAATCGACGCTTAACTACAAAGATTGAATTACTCAATGTCATTAAAGAAGCACAGAATTATCATCAATCATTACCACTAAAAACTAATCATCACCAATACACATATTCTACACCGACATATTCTGGATATACTACTGCTAGACCCTCAACAAATCAACAGTGGTCTACCACGCCGCCACCACCGCCGTCATCATGGTCACCGTCACGTTCAGCCTCCAGCCAAGATTCAGACAACTTAGATTTATTTGAATAAACAAATATACTTACCTTAACGTTATCACGAGTTTTTCTTCTGCGGAAATCGAATCTCTCAAAATCGTTGAATCACCAGTAATATCTACTTTAATAACATGGAGTAAGTCATCAAATAATTTTATGGACATTCTAAAATAATTAAAAAACTTAGGTTCATATTGCCTTAATTTTGGATACAATGTTACAAACATTCCATGCGTCAGTCTATCTCGTAATATTGGGTGCACCCAATATTCTCTTTGCCTCTGCCGTCGTCTTTTATAGCGACGGTATAGAAGCCACACACAAGCGATCACTTCGAAGTCCATTTCCGAACTGAACTAGTAGTATGGACACCTTGGTAACGCTCGTTAAACGCCGTGCTGAGCGCGCTGTATGTATGCTACAAGCGCGCGCCCAACGCAACGCCGAGCGCCCAATGTGTTCCCCGCTCATATAGTGTTTCGTCCGATATATAGTTTTTGTTTAGGCCGATATCGAATATACGATATTGAGTCAATATATAGATCCAATAACTATATACGTTTTGTATCGCCCACTCCTAATTTCCACAATTATTTCTTCTGAGGCAGCAACGCGCCGAGTAACAGCTAGCCTCTTATAAAAACACGAAACTAAATTATATCTGTTTTTCAGTTCGACCCAGCCCTCCAAAGGTTTATGTCAATGAAAGCCTGTCAATTCGATCATTTTCAAGCAAACCCCAGAACCGTTATATCTGGTATAACGATGTTGGTGTTACCAATGCTCGTTTATGGATATTGCGTGTATAAGCAGCGCAGTCAGTTCGAGAGGGACTGTCGTTGTGGAAAAATTCTACCACGCGATAGGATATTTAAATTAAAATAATAAAGTCACCATTATTTCAGTTTTTTATTTTCATTTTGGTTTAGTTGTGCAACTATATCCATAAAGATGGCAGCCAGGCATATTACGGCAGTAAAGGTACTGTCTTTTCATTGAGTATTGTTTTTGTGGATTACTACGTAGTGTGGTTATTAACAAATACTTGTTAGTAGATCATATCAAGCTTCTAATTTAATCTAATAACAACTTAAGAAGCCCTGTCTCGCCAGCAATGCAGTCAGGAATTTGCATTTAGAAAAAGCCACAATTAGGTGCTAAGTTTAAAAAATAGGTGCTTTAAAATTTTCACCGCAATCAACTGTTGAAATTTACGTTGCTGGCAAAACGTATTGCTAGCAACGCAGTAACGATAATAGATATACGATAAATATTAATAGCAAGGAATTAAGTGCTGTGTGCTGAAAGATTATTGATGTCGGATGTAAGATGACTGTAGTATTCTGGGAATTATCGGGTCCAGGACCACAATTACCTTACTATAATGTATGAACGGCATTTTATGTTCTTTATTAGTTACATACTTATTATAGATAAGATAGGTCAAATCTGTTCTAAAACCGAATCATAACGCCGCGACACCACGTAGTCTTGTCTGCCCTACCCCTAGTGTTTTGCGGAGCGGAGGTGAGCATGGGTGCCTGTGAATTGCTACGCAAGGGCGAAGGGGTTGCACTTCCCGCAGCGCCGAAGCTGTTGCAGAAGTAACTGTGTCAATATTCCTGTGTAATGAAGTGAGGTTATGATTTTACAAAAAAAATATTACTCATAAACTATAACATTTCCGCAAGGGGGGGGGGGGGGGAAGGCTTCCCCAGAATATTCCCCCTCCCCCTTTCCAGCCCCGTACGCAAGTACCAGAGGTCTTTAGTTTTACCATTATCATAAGACCTGATTTTGCATCTGCTTTGTTCTGAATGACTTACATCGTGCTCGTCGGTGCAGTAAAACATCGGAGGAAATCTTCATATCAGCGGGACCAAAATAGAAGACATGTAAAGTTTCCCAGCAGTTCCGCATTGGAACAGCGCGTCCATTTGTGTAATAAATACTAGTAGTGAGTCAAATCCTTTGTTATACTGCAATATACCTACAAGCCTGTCGTTGCTAAAAATATGCAAGGGTTGTCACAAAAAAACATTTCCTTAAATATAATATCATAACATTATATTTTACGTGTATTCCTCATAATGATTTATTTTTCTATACAAAGTTACAAATTACGACTTTACCAAAACTATAGTTGCGTCCCGCAGCTTCACCTGATTCGTTATGATGGAAACAGAATTGTGCTTGTGCAGGTAGGTAGGTATTTACCTAATTTTACTATACTGTATCTCAGGTATTCCACTTAAAATATGGAATAGGGGGTTAAACAGGATAAAATTATACGTTGGTTCTGTAAATATGTAATACCGAGTAATATCTTGTGAATTGATTCCGTGTACGTGATAATTCTAAACGAGCATACCGGTACGCAAGCGATGGCGACCGGTATTACCACAGACGTCGCGGGCATGGGGGGACTCCTCTCCTTCATACCGCGCCCCATCGTTGCTCCGTCTAGTCGCCGTGTTGACTAACTAATTAGTATTTATTACACATATGGCGCGGCGAACTAATTGCTCTATAGCCATCTTAGAATTAAAAAGAGGCCTATATGCAGCATTGGGACGTGCATATTATATAGGCTGTAACTAACTTTTTTAGGTAGGATTTATCATTTATGAAATAATTCCCACTTTCAACCTCGCCTAACTGCGGTGCCCCCAGCTAAATGAATATCGGGGCTCAGACGATCGACTTCTATACGGAAAATTGCGAACCCGAATGTCATTACTAGTGATTTGCGGTATTAACGGTACAAACACACTTGCCCATCGTGGCGAGTAGTAATCTGTGCGAGTAAGGCAAACATTTGAGGTATACATGGCTAGTTGCCTCATTCTATACGTGGTAGAACCATGCTGCAGCTATATTAGTAGTATAGTTGTAGCACGAATGGGTCGGCTCTACCGGGGAAGGACCACGCTCTCACAGAATACCAGCGTAATATAGCAACTTAGCACTGCTGTTTTTCATATGGTGAGTGTAGAGTACCGTAGACCCTTTTTACTGGAAAAGAGGCATTCCATCTTAGTCCTCACGGGTGACAACGCATCTGTATTTTGATTCGCAAACGAGGATTGCCTTAAATGTCACGATTGTTAGGCGGATTATTGATATAATAAAAATAATAATCATAACATATAACATGTTACAATACGTGGTAGAACCATGCTGCAGCTATATTATGATTGTAGCACGAATGGGTCGGCTCAAGCGGGGAAGGACCACGCTCTCACAGAATACCAGCGTAAAATAGCAGCTTCACGCTGCTGTGTTTCGTATGGTGTGTAGAGAACCGGAGACCCTTTTTACTGGAAAAGAGGCATTCCATCTTAGTCCTCACGGGTGACAACGCATCTGTATTTTGATTCGCAAACGAGGATAAATGTAGATATCTATGGGCCACAGCAACCACTTTCCATCAGGACTGTGTGCTTGTTTGTAACCCTATCCTATAAAAAAAAATTCTTCATAAGGCCCCAATCTTTTTCATCAGTCACTCGTGTTACCTCCGAGGGCTTATAATTGAGTATAGAAAGGGAAGACCGAGTAACACTTATACGTAGCCATTTTACATTTTAATACTACAAATACTACAGTGGTCAATCATTCTCTACTTTTCGAGAAAAGAAGGCTAGATATGTCTGTATTTTATTTCTTCAAAGTAAAAATGGCGTTAACTACAATATGTGTTCAAGTGAGCTTACCCATGTCAACTCAAACTAAAAAGCTTTTGCTAGGAGTGGTTCAAAAGTACACAAGTCGACTCGCAGATAAGTTAAGGTCGTACCTTTAACTATTACGAAAATGTTTCTGCATAATGAAATAAGGAATAAAAGACAAACATATAAAATATAATATAATTATAAGCCTAATAGATACAGTAGATACCATAACAAGAAGAAAAAATGTGTTAATGAATGTGTAGAATGACTTAATGGACATTTGATAGAATTGTTCTCTAGTCATCTCAATGTTGGATAATATTTTTTTACAAAACATGTAAGTAATTTTTATTCGTATTGCAGTCAATATTCCATGAATTAAAAATATTTACAATCTGTTTTATCTCGCTACACTCCTAACTTCCAAAAACAGAGACAAGATGAAAGGGGCGGCAAAAGCACTATCACCTATAAGGAACTAACATGTTCCTCATTTTTCTTAACCAATCACATGAAAGCTAATAGTTTGCCCATGGCAATATGAAACGAAGGATCAAACAAAGTTTCGCGCCGATTCTTCTTAACCTTTCGACGTACAGTCTTGTTATCGAAGTAGGTACTTTTATTTATAAACATCAATATATGCATTGTGATCGTTGAAATTGGTCGTCTCATATCAGTGTAGTGTAGAGAAATTTATATTTATTGGAGGAAACAGTTTGTAAATATTTTTATTAATCATAACTTCACAACGGATTCCTGACATTTTTATTCAGAGCTTGCGTCGGGCTCTAGGACGGTGATACGACGGCCTCGGAACACGGACGCGTTCATTACTGTCGCCCACCTGACTCAAACTCTCTTCGAGAGGTTCCGCACGAGGCGTGAATAGCTTTCTTCTACTGCGGGTTACACTAAAAGAACAAGCACTGGTTAAAACAGTTATTAAAAAAAAAACATACTGCGTAAAAAAGTTAACTGAAAAGATAAGAAAATTATACCGTGTCACTTCCATAACTAAGATGCATCTAACTACAACCCATAAGTTAAATTTCATCAAGACGTTTAGGCTACAGAGCTAACCACGTGCAATGCATACATACACGTGAACAACATTACCCTCCATGTTAGGCAATCGGGTAAAAACAAAAGTAAAGGCACCACCTAAAAGGAGATGGGTAGCAGCATCTTCTGAATAACAACTTAAAGTAATAAAAAATTGAGGTTGCAAAGCCGCCACTCAAGCGTGGCAACTATGGCAAATATCTACTTATGAGACACTAAATGCAGCAGTGGACTTTGGATAGGCTGTTTTGAAAGAATGAAAATAATATATTACATACTATTTATAACTATTTCAATGGAATTAGTATGATGTAAAATTTTTGCAATGTGAAAATGCCCGAGTAATTCTGCATCTAATATAATCTGAACTTACCTCTTCGAAGGACAGCTCTGTATTCCTTGCATTGGAGGCAGATTCTCCTCTTCCTCAATTTTAACAGGAGAAGCTATATCTTTGACCTCCTTCTTGGGCGCCGGCATGTCCATTGTAACGTCAGAGAATTCTTCTTGCAAATTGACGATGTCTTTCAATTTGGCACTTCTCTCTTGATCGGAACTGTCATTGTCTTGATTTTTACGCCTTCGCAACCGTAAACTTTTCTTTGTGTTGCCCTTATTTTCGCAATTTGCCTGACTCTCAGACTTCTGTTTCTTCCTCAAGTTATACTTCGTTTCTCCAAATTCCTGCGCTTCGGTAGTTGTATCCTTAGTAGTGTTACTCATGTTTACATCCTCCGCTTCCAACAGATCAAATTTCGACGCTCTCGGTTCCGATATGTCTCTATAAATTTTTTCGAATTCGTCCAGCGTATTGTCCCCTTTTGCGTTCGCTTCTACATGGAGTGTATTATCTTCGACTGGTTTGAGAACTGCTTGAATTTCTTTTTCTATGTGTTTTTCCGAATTCATCATACATTTTACATCTGTTTTGGCAAGTTCATCTGATAAAACAGTATTTTCGATAGATTTCCGTAAATTTTCTACGTCGTCTTGCTTGCTTTTTGGAGGTTTGGGAACTACTTGAATTTCTTTTTCTACATGTTTTTCCGATTTTATCTTACATTTCACATCTATTTTGGCAAGTTCATTTGATAAAACAGTACTTTCGATAGATTTCCGTAAATTTTCTACGTCGTCTTGTTTGCTTTTTGGAGGTATTTCAATTTGTGGTGAATCATAACCTTCAAATACGTCAATGGAATTACTCTTCTTAGTTAAAATATTCGCCTTATGAATGACAGAAATTGGATCGGCTTGTCTAGTTAAACTCTCCCCAAGAAGCTTCTTCATTGTGCTCTGCTTAAAATCACATGTAGTTTCTTCTTTAACAATGGATGGTGACCTCACATCATCATTTTTTAAATTAGCAATATTTTTAATCCTCGACACTCTTTTATTGTCTTCGTTTTCGACATTAACTTCTAAATTATCGAAAAAGACTTTACTTTCTTTATTTGATTCTGTATTAAGTAAGTCTTTTGAAGGCTCTTCGGGAATATTATCACAGAAGAAGATTCTTTTCTCTTTGAGAATTTTTATGTTTCTAAGTGCATCGAAAGTATTTCTTTTTGGTTCAGGATCTAAATCATTTGCTGCCATTTCTAGTTGCTCAAATTGTGTTAGGGAAGTGTTGGAATTATGAACACTCGAATTTGATTTCAGGGAATTCAGTATTTTATTCACTAACGTATCAGAAATAGCGAGAGGCATATTTACTTTGGGTTTGATTTCTTCTTTCTGCTCGGTATTTTCATGTTTTTCTTTAACTTGACATTGTTCAACAGTAAAGTTACTTTCTTGTTCTTCTTGTGTAGAATTTTCAGACTTGCTGTCGTCTTGAGATCTTCTTACGAAATATGTGCCACGTAGTAACATTTGCATTTTAGATTTCTCTTCAACCGCATCACTAGAGCTAAGAACGGTCTCGTCGTCATTGATAAAATACATCTCTCTATTGCTAGAATTAAATGTTTTAACTTCTTCTTTTTTAAAACTTTTATCACCATTTACATAGTCAACTTGTCTACTTATCTCGCCAAGTCCTTCGTCAATTTCCTTATTATTTTCTTCACAAGTAACACTATCTTCGACTTCGCTAGTATATGTTTTCTCATTATCGACATCACTATATTTTAAAGTGTCACCAGAGTTTTCTAATGAATGGGCGCCATTAATCTTTTCTACTGTGTGATTATTTATGTCATCTATTACGCTGTTAGTTCCGTTATCATCAATTTCAATGTCATCGTTTGTGGTATGATTTACGTTGGCTAAACTTTGCCTCATTAATCGTGATCGATTTATATCTTCTTTTTTGAATGTTGGTTCAAGGCTTTCATTGCACGAGTCTTCTTCTTCTTCGTCACCATCATCTTCACTGTCAGTAACAGACGTTACTTCTTCGTTTTGGTTCTGAGCGTCATCGTAAGCTTTTTCTAAACAAAAAATCGTCATTGTTATTTAAGAAGTAAATATCCGCTTTTATAAAGATTTGTGATATATAGTAAATTTTAATGAAACGTAAGAACAATTTAATATCATGCAAAATTTATGATCTAGTTATTAAAAAATTAAGGATCTACAGAATTAACAAAATAATTAAATTTGGAATCGAGTTAACAAACAAAGTGTGACTTGCCATCTCTCTCATCAATGCAAGCTCGTAAGTGTTGAAGCTCTTCTTCAGCTCTTGCGCGTGCCAGTTCTTCAGCCGAAAGTTTTTCCTGAAAAATAGTAGGTATATTAATAATGTTTTAGTATTAATAGAGTTTTGAAGTTAGGTTAAAAATGTTGGTTTCATTGGTTGGCATACCTACTCAGTGCATAAACTCTAGTAAAAGTTAAAATTATTATGTTGATAAAAAAACATTATCTTTAAGGGGTATGCTCCGATAGCCCCGCCATACATTTTTGTTTTGACATATACGTTAAACACAGACATTTGCCATTTCTTAATCTACATTATGAATCAAAATGCAAATACGTTGCCACCTCTGAGTACTAAGACAGAATGCCTCTTTTCCAGTAAAAAGGGACCCCGGTTCTCTACACTCACCCACTCTATACAGCAACATTAAGCTGCTATTTAACGCTGGTATCCTGCGAGATCGTGGTCCTACCTCGGTGGAGCCGACCCATTCATGCTACAACCATAATATAGCTGCAGGTTGGCTCTACCAGGTAAGATTTGTAATGGTTGTCACGTTTAGCAGACGGACTGGCAACCCCAGTTTTTTATTACTTTGAGATGTTATTAGGAAGATGCTGCTACCCATCACTGTTTCAGTTACTCTCTGTCGCCTCTTACGACATATAGTGAGGTAGTGTATATTCATACACCGACATTACGCTATGAAATTCTTAGAAGGTGCCATTCCGTAAATAAAAAAGGATTTTCTTCAGCGCAATCCAAAATGTTAATAATATTTTAAATGTAATACTGGGAAACTAAATTTCCGCTTGATAGTTCGATTCTAAATTTCGAACTCGAAATCTTTCGTTCAAACTTTGGAATCAAACTAATTCTATTTATTTTTAAACTACAATAATTACAAGAATATTCACAGACAACATGCTTACTTACCTCAAGAATAGCTATCTCCCTCATAAGTTGTGATATCTAAAATAGAAAAAAATAAAAGATAAAACGTGTCCATACTTAAAAAACAACAAGATGTTACACGTCAAATGGTCGATGATTAGCCCACAAGAGCCTCATAAAAATTTAATTGATGATTAAAAGAAAAACCATTATTTAATTATCGTAAATAAATACTACTAAACAATAAGATTGTTAAAAGTATTATTAAAAACGTAATCTGATAGCGTTCAATACTCGTTTGGTCCTTCGACCCGGATACTAAGAATAACCATGCCCACAAGAGCCTCGTAAAAATTTTATTCATGATTTTAAAAAAAAACCATTATTAATTAACGCAAATAAATACAATTACATAATAAGATTGTTAAAAGTATTATTAAAAACGTAATCTGATAGCGTTCAATACTCGTTTGGTCCTTCGAGCCGGATACTAAGAATAACCATGCTAAGTTTTGTTTCTAATATTTTAATAGATAAACGACGATACTGCGGCTGAGAAGTCAAGATCCCAACTACAGAAATTACGGGTACTTTGCATCAAGGCAGCATCACAGATAGGTTAGGAATACACTAGTGCGTGTTTGCGTGTACACTAATGGCACTATAATAGCGCTGTTGATATTTCATGACATTACTCGAAAGTCATCATTATCAGTTTAGTGATCCCTTACCTTGTTTTGTAAAGCACGAGACGGTGTGCCTTCACTAGATGATAGTGCTTGCGATGCGAGCTTGCTTAATCTAGCTTCGTATTCCTCTTTCATTTCTTCCATCTGAAAAAATAATAACAATTGCATATCACATGTTTATTTAATGTGTTCTAATATAAAGGTATGGTCGGCATAAAAATTAATTAATGGAAAAATACCAGAAAAGTTTTCTGATGGAAGCTAAATTGCAGAGTAACTATGTTAAAAATTGCTAAACAAGGCGTTTTATAATATAATCGCCAATTCGCATTCCTATTTTGAAATTATGACAACCTCCTTACTAGAGAGAAGAAAAAACATAGGCCTTTCTGTAAATTGCCTCATAGTTTCTAAGTTCCTATAGTTACCAAGCTTAGGAAGTATTTTAGCCACCGCAGTTTTTTAATTATTTAGAACTGTTATCAGGAAGGTGCACCCACCTTTTTTTTCATTTCCCTTTGTCGCCTCTTACAACACTAACGGGATGACATGCGTTTGTGGATTCTATTTCTCCTCTACTCCACTATATGGTATTGTATTATCTATATAAATAAAAATTAATTGCCGCATGTATGAAAGATCATCACTAGATAATGGCTGGACCGATTTTGATGAATTTTTTTGTGGGTGTTTGCGTGAATCCCTGAATGGTTTAGATTTAGAAATGGTAAAGAATTCACCCATGTGAAGCCGGGGCGGATCGCAATAATTATATAAATAGTATTTCTTCATCATTCATTACAGTCCGTCAAAAGGATAATTCTGAACATAGGCCACCTGTATAGATTGGCTCATAGGGAGGATATTTGCTACAGTTGCCACGCTTGGCAGGTGTATGGGTTAGCGCAGTTTTTTTTTATTTTTAATACGTTGTTAACTAGAAGGTGTTGCTGCCCATCTCCTGTTTCAGTTTCTTTCAGTCTCCTCTTAAAACACCTTCGGGATGAAATGAGGTAGTGGATACACTTACACTGCCCTTATACGGTGAATATGTTACATTGTTTAATATTGTTATGTGCGGGGTGAGTAAAAATGCCGAATAGGGTGATAAATGGATGTATTCTTCCACACACACAACAAGTATACAATTAGCTCGTCCAAAATAGCTAAGCTTCTTCGGTGAGGTCTTTAATAATCGCAGATGTCGTTGACCGATTGATCGTAGTCGCTTTCCGAAATAAAGTCCATTTTCGCGTGTAAAATAACTAATTCTCCGATCGACGGTGCACGCTTTTAGAGCCAAGAAGAGGAATGAAGAACATTCTACGTCAATCCAGGTCATCACATTTTTTCAATAGGAATGTACTAAGAACACTCGCGATTACATAACGATAACAATATGTCCAAAAAAGAAGACTTTGTATACGTAGACGTAAGGTTCCGTCTTGCTTCCATCAATAAATTGAGCGTTGTCTATAATTAATAAAATCAGGCGTTACTTTGCTTTTTTTACTACCCACCGCAGTCTACTTCACCTGATCTGCCTCGTGTAGAGGCGAAACACGTGTCGTATTATCAACGGTGGTGTGTCTTTCGTAGTGTAGTGGTGTTGGGAGTAGTGGTGACGTGGATAGTGTACGCAATTGAGGGAGGGTTGGAGGTTCTTTTCAAACTAGGTAAGACACATAATTTTATTTTATCGATCGGATGTACGCAAAGTAGTTTTTACCAACTTTAACTTTTGAGCGTAGTCTATTTTTATGCATCATCATCATCATTATAGCCTTTCATAAGTCCACTGCTGAACATAGGCCTCCCCCAAGGAATCCCACAAAGCACGGTACTGAGCCACCTGCATCCATCGACTTCCTGCATGTCTTACCAGGTCGTCACTCCACCTCGTGGGGGGTCGCCCTAAACTTCGCCTACCGGTACGAGACTGCCACTCGAGAACCTTTCTTCCCCATCGGTTGTCGGTTCTTCGAGTTATATGGCCGGCCCACTGCCACTTCAGCTTACTAATCCGATGGGCTATGTCGGTTACTCTGGTTCTACTGCGGATATCCTCATTTCTAAGTTTATCACGCAGAGAAACCCCGAGCATAGCCCTCTCCATAGCTCGCTGAGCGACCTTGAGCTTCCTCATACGGCCAACAGTGAAGGACCACGTCTCAGATCCGTAAGTCGTCACTGGCAACAGGCACTGGTTGTACAATTTCGTGAGATTTTGAGGTATGTCTGACGAGAAGATGTGTCGTAGTTTCGCGAACGCTGCCCAACTGAGTTAATCCGTCGATTGACCTCTCGGTCGAAGTTGGACTTACCTAGTCGGACTATTTGTCCCAGGTAAACATACTCGTCAACAACTTCGAGCTTAGTGCTCCCAACAACTACCGGCATAGGTGTGACATGGACATTAAACATGATCTTTGTTTTGTCCATGTTCATCTTAAGACCTATCCGTTGGGAGACACTATTGAGGTCATTGAGCATGGTGCTTAGTTCCTCCAGCGATTCTGCCATAAGGACTATATCGTCGGCAAATCGAAGGTGAGTGATGTACTCGCCATTGATGTTAATACCGTATCCTTTCCGGTCCAGAAGCTTGAAAACGTCTTCCAACGCAGCGGTGAAGAGTTTCGGGGATATAACGTCACCCTGTCTTACACCTCTCTGTAATTGGATAGGTAGCGTACTTTGGTTCTGTACTTGGATAGCCACTGTAGCCCTACTGTACAAGCATTTCAGCACTTCGATATACCGACAGTCAACTTTGCACCGCTGAAGGGACTGTATCATCATCATCATCAAAACTAGGTATTGTAGAACAAATGTCGGATTATCAGCTCCAATTAATAGAACCTTAAAAACTTATAATGTAATTTCTAAATTGGTCTACCTTGACATATTAAACGATTCTTATACCACTTTTAAAAATAAAATTAAAAAACATTTTTATAACAAAATTAAGATCACCTCATGAGTTATTGTAAAAAAAACCCTTTTTTTTTTGTTTCATGCATTAAAATATGTTATTTTGTTATCTTTTCTTCTTCTTTTTTCAACAATAATGTGCGTTACTTATTATTTTACTTTAACATGTTAAGTTAGCCTATAAGTATGATATGTACTAAACTTAAGATTAATCAATAAAATTTGCAAACATTTTTCATTGTACAATATCATGTTGGCTTCCTAAATAAATAAATCATCATTACAGCCCTTCACAAGTCCACTGCTGAACATAGGCCTCCCCCAAAGAATGCCACAAAGCACGGTCCTGAGCCACCTGCATCCATCGACTTCCTGCATATCTTACCAGGTCGTCACTCCATCTAGTGGGGGGACGCCCTACACTTCGCCTGCCGGTACGAGGCTGCCACTCGAGAACCTTTCTTCCCCATCGGTTGTCGGTTCTTCGAGCTATATGGCCGGCCCATTGCCACTTCAGCTTACTAATCCGTTGGGCTATGTCGGTCACTCTAGTTCTACTGCGGATATCCTCATTTCTGAGTTTATCACGCAGAGAAACTCCGAGCATAGCCCTCTCCATAGCTCGCTGAGCGACCTTGAGCTTCCTCATCCGGCCAGCAGTGAAGGACCACGTCTCAGTTCCGTATGTCATCACTGACAACACGTACTGGGTGTACAGTCTCGTTTTCAAGTTTTGAGGTATACCTGACGAGAAGATGTGCCGTAATTTCCCGAACGCTGCCCAACCGAGTTGAATCCGTCGATTGACCTCTCGGTCGAAGTTGGACTTACCTAGTCGGACTATATGTCCCAGGTAAACATACTCGTCAACAACTTCGAGCTTAGTGTTCCCAACAACTACCGGCATAGGTGTGACATGGACATTAAACATGATCTTTGTTTTGTCCATGTTCATCTTAAGACCTATCCGTTGGGAAACACTATTGAGGTCATTGAGCATAGTGCTTAGGTCCTCCAGCGATTCTGCCATAAGGACTATATCGTCGGCAAATCGAAGGTGAGTGATGTACTCGCCATTGATGTTGATACCGTATCCTTTCCTGTCCAGAAGCTTGAAAACATCTTCCAATGCAGCGGTAAAGAGTTTCGGGGATATGACGTCACCCTGTCTTACACCTCTCTGCAATTGGATAGGTTTCGTACTCTGGTTCTGTACTCGGATAGCCATCGTAGCCCTACTGTACAAGCACTTCAACACTTCGATATACCGACAGTCAACTTGGCATCGCTGAAGGGACTGCAGCACCGCCCAAATTTCGACGGAATCAAAGGCTTTCTCATAGTCCACATACGCCAGACATAGTGGCAAATTGTACTCCTCGGACTTCTGTACAATTTGCCGAAGGGTATGTATGTGGTCTATGGTGCTAAAGCCTTTTCGGAAACCGGCTTGTTCGGGAGGCTGGAAGTCGTCAAGTCTGCGCGCGAGACGATTCGTAATGACTCTCGAAAACAGCACGTAGACGCGGCTCAGAAGGGAAATCGGTCTGTAGTTCTTCAAGAGAGCGTTGTCGCCTTTCTTGAAGAACAAGACCACCGCACTTCTGCTCCACGCCTCCGGTGTAATGCCACCATGGAGGACGGAATTAAAGAGCTTCTGAAGGACTTCAAGTACCGGTTTTCCACCCGCTTTCAGAAGCTCCGCTGTAATTCCATCCTCGCCTGGGGCCTTGCCGTTTTTAAGGTGCTGGAGAGCCATTCTAATCTCGCTCAGACTGACGTCCGGGATATCATCGGAATAATGTCGGATAAGACTCGCTCTTGGATCGTTACTCACACTTGCGTGCGGCTCCAACGATGACGTGTACAGCTGCCCATAGAACCTCTCAATCTCACTCAAAATCTCAGGTGCCCCGGAAACGATGCTGCCACATTCTGTCTTCAGCTTTGACAGTTGGCGCTTTCTGGCAGACAGATCTCTGGCAAAGACTTTGGAGCCTCGGTTCCGCTCGATCGCTTCTTCAATACGAGCTGTATTGAATTTGCGTAAGTCCCGCCGCATGCATTTGGAGATCTGTCTGTTCAGTTCCCTCTATGCTGTTAAATCTGTTGAAGAATGTAGCTTCATCTCCCGTCTAACAGCCATGAGATTAAGAGTGTGATCGGAGAGTTTTTGTGTTCTTCTGCGGCGGGTCTTGCAGAACTTAGCTCCGACCGCATGGACAGTTTCCACGAGCTTGTCATTCAAATCGTCCACTTCATTGCAGTCTTCTAGGCACTGAAAACGGTTTTGTAACTCGAGCTGAAAGGTTTCGGGACTTTGGATTAGAGCACGAGGGGGACGGAGCGTTGACTTCATTAGACGAGACCTCTCCAACTTAACGTTTAGGTTCAGTGTGCCTCTAACCATTCGGTGATCGCTGCCGGTTTTCACCCTCGCGATCACTGAGACATCACTGAACAGTTGTCGTCTGGTCGTCATAATGAAGTCAATCTCATTTTTTGTCGAACCGTCGGGGCTCGACCAGGTCCACTTCCTGTGGGGCCGCTTCTGGAAGAAAGAGTTCATCATAAAGAGTCCCTCTTTCTCCATGAAGTCGGCCAGCTGCTGGCCCCTTGGGTTCCGTTGCCCTATTCCAAATTTCCCTACTTTCAGCTCACCGTTCTCTCTTGTGCCTAGTTTTGCATTGAAGTCTCCCATTAACACCGTATATTGGGTTTTGGAGGAATGCATGGCTCTAGAGATATCCTCATACATTTCCTCCACCTCCTGATCGGGGTGTGCCGAGGTTGGTGCGTAAACCTGTATGACCTTCAGCGAATACCGTTTGGTGATTCTGAGTATAAGGTACGCAACCCTCGTCGACACACTCTCAATCTTTACAACGTTGTTAACGAGAGACTTGTGGACGATAAATCCGACACCTCCTTGGGACAGATGGTCGCCCTCCCGGTAATAGAGCAAGTTGCCGGATTCGAGGATTACCGTGTCCTCCCCCTCTCTTCGGACTTCGGATAATCCTATAATATGCCAGCGTAACTTGTCTATCTCTTCTTCCAGCTCCACAATCTTCTCGTCAGTCCTCAGGGTGCGTGCGTTGTATGTTGCCAGGTCGAGTCGTCGTAGGTGGCAACCGAACCTCCACCGGAGATTCTTAGCACCCCCTGCCCCGCCGTTACCATGGTCGCCACCGTAGCCAGGAATAGCGGGGCCGCCGGGGACTGGGGGCCGTTTATTATTGTCATTGCTCATGGGGGGTATATTGCCATAGTTGCCACGCTTGGCGAGCGGGTTGGCAACCGCAGTTTTTTATTGTTATTTTGGCTATTATCAGGAAGATGCTGCTGCCCATCTCCTGCCTGTTTCCCTTTGTCGCCTTTTACGACACCCACGGGAAGATATGGGGTAGTGGATATTCTTAACCGCCACTACACGGTAAGGGACTGCAGCACCGCCCAAATTTCGACAGAATCAAAGGCTTTCATAGTCCACATACGCCAGACATAGTGGCAAATTGTACTCCTCGGACTTCTGTACAACTTGGCGAAGGGAATGTATGTGGTCTATGGTGTTAAAGCCCTTCCGGAAACCGGCTTGTTCGGGAGGCTGGAAGTCGTCAAGTCTGCGCGCGAGACGATTCGTAATGACTCTCGAAAACAGCACGTAGACGCGGCTCAGAAGGGAAATCGGTCTGTAGTTCTTCAAGAGAGCGTTGTCACCTTTCTTGAAGAATAAGACTACCGCACATCTGCTCCACGCCTCCGGTGTAATGCCGCCATGGAGGACGGAATTAAAGAGCTTCTGAACGACTTCAAGTACCGGTTTTCTACCCGCTTTCAGAAGCTCCGCTGTAATTCCATCCTCGCCTGGGGCCTTGCCGTTTTTAAGGTGCTGGAGAGCCATTCTAATCTCGCTCAGACTGACGTCCGGGATATTTTCGGAATAGTGTCGGATAAGACTCGCTCTTGGATTGTTACTCACACTTGCGTGTGGCTCCAACGATGACGTGTACAGATGCCCATAGAACCTCTCAATCTCACTCAAAATCGCAGGTGCCCCGGAAACGATGCTGCCACAATCGGTTCTCAGCCTTGACAGATGGCTCTTTCTGGCAGACAGATCTCTGGCAAAGACTTTGGAGCCTTGGTTCCGCTCGATCGCTTCTTCAATACAAGCTGTATTGAAGTTGCGTAAGTCCCGTCGCATGTATTTGGAGATCTGTCTGTTCAGTTGCCTGTATGCTGTCAATTCTGTTGAAGAATGCAGCTTCATCTCCCGTCTAACAGCCATAAGATTAAGAGTGTGATCGGAGAATTTTTGTGTTCTTCTGCGGCGGGTCTTGCAGAACTTAGATCCGATCGCATGGACAGTTTCCACGAGCTTGTCATTCATATCGTCCACTTCATTGCAGTATTCTAGGCACTGAAAACGGTTTTGTAACTCGAGCTGAAAGGTTTCGGGATTTTGGAACAGAGCACGAAGGGGACGGAGCGTTGACTTCATTAGACGAGACTTCTCCAACTTAACGTTTAGTTTCAGTGTGCCTTTGACCATTCGGTGATCGCTACCAGTTTTCACCCTCGCGATCACGGAGACATCACTAAACAGTTGTCGTCTTGTCGTCATAATGAAGTCAATCTCATTTTTTGTCGAACCGTCGGGGCTCAACCGGGACCACTTCCTGTGGGGCCGCTTCTGAAAGAAAGAGTTCATCATAAAGAGTCGCTCTTTCTCCATGAAGTCGGCCAGCTGCCCTATTCCAAATTTCCCTACTTTCAGCTAACCGTTCTCTCTTGTGCCTAGTTTTGCATTGAAGTCTCCCATTAACACCGTATATTGGGTTTTGGAGGAATGCATGGCTCTAGAGATATCCTCATACATTTCCTCCATCTCCTCATCGGGGTGTGCCGAGGTTGGTGCTTAAACCTGTATGACCTTCCACGAATACCGTTTGGTGATTCTGAGTATAAGGTGCGCACGCAACCCTCGTCGACACACTCTCAATCTTTACAACGTTGTTAACGAGGGACTTGTGGACGATAAATCCGACACCTCCTTGGGACAGATGGTCGCCCTCCCGGCGATAGAGCAAGTTGCCGGATTCGAGGATTACCGTGTCCTTCCCCTCTCTTCGGACTTCGGATAATCCTATAATATGCCAGCGTACCTTGTTTATCTCTTCTTCCAGCTCCACAATCTTCTCGTCAGTCCTCAGTTGTATGTTGCCAGGTCGAGTCGTCTTAGGTGGCAACCGAGCCTCCACCGGAGATTCTTAACACCCCCTGCCCCGCCGTTACCATGGTCGCCACCGTAGCCAGGAATAGCGGGGCCGCCGAGGACTGGGGGCCGCCCTCTCTTTGTTACATTCATTCATAGGGGGGTATTTGCCATAGTTGGCGAGCGGGGTGGCAACCGCAGTTTTTTTATTGTATTTTTGCTGTTATCAGGAAGATGCTGCTGCCCACCTCCTGCCTGTTTCCCTTTGTCGCCTTTTACGACACCCACGGGAAGATATATGGGGTAGTGGATATTCTTAACCGCCACTACACGGCAGATTATTGTTGATATTTTTATGCTTACAACTTTTATTAACTTGACAGAGGCGGTGAACCCATATCTTCGGAAATGTTCTCGTGCAACGTGATGCAACACGCAAGTGGTTGCCGTGACAATATGTAACTCTGCTACATTGAATTTTTAATTCTTACCTCGTCCCTCAGAGATTGCATTCGTGCTTCATAATACTGCCGTGTCAAGTCTTTAGCTTCGGCAACAAATTCCTTTATAGTGTCCGCCGTTTTAGCCTGACGTTCTTCCATTGCAGCCAACAATTCTTTATTTCGCGCTTGGGCCCTTAAATAAAAAAAATATATAAATACATATGTATATAAATTTGCCACTGTCTTATATGCAAAAACTTTATTAATAATATCTCTTTATGCAATAAGATTACTATAAATAACTGTAACAAAAAAAAATTACGTGGTAGAGCTATGCTGCAGCTTTATTACGGTTGTAGCACGAATGGACCGGCTCGACTGGGCAGAATCACGCTCTCACAGAATACCAGCGTAAAATAGCAGCTTTATGTTGCAGTTTCGTGGTGAGTGTAAAGAACCGGAGACCCTTTTTACTGGAAATGAGTTATTCCATCTTAGTCCTCGGGGGTGACAACGCGTCTCCATTTTGATTCTTAATCGAGGATAAATGTAGATGTTTATGGGTCACAACATCCACTTGCCACGTGGACTGTGTGTTTGTTTCTCACCCTTATCCTATAAAAAAAAGGTAATACATAGTAAAGAGGTCAGAAGCAATAAGATTGTTCATTTCCCATAGTTGCCTCATACGAAAACCACAGGATGAAATAGAGTGCTGGATTCTCCTACGCATTTGTTATTAGGACGATCCTGCTGCAATATTACAATAACAAATTAAACAAGTAATGACTTTAGTGATAGTACTTACCGAACTAGTTCGAAATGCAATCGCTCATTATCAGATCGAAGTTTCATCACATCTGGGTTGTGAGCTATTATTGTATCCGCGTGTGAGGTCATCTCCAGGGATGAGTATTCAGATACTGTGTTGTTAACCTCTGGAAATTAATACAAATTGACTGGTTCAAAAACTATAACATGTTTATACTACAAAATCCACAAAAATTAGCTGAACAAAAACACAAAAGCCATTATTTTATGCGGTATGTGACTATAGTATATATATATATATATATATATATATATATATATATATATATATATATATATATATATATATATATATATATATATATATATTATAATTATATTTATAATTTTCACCTATGTACCATAAGGCCTAGATACTGAAATCTGGTAGGAATATTCGTTTCGCCGAGTAGAGATCAGCTAAGAACGGATTTTACGAAATTCCTTCCGCAAGGGGGGTTGCAGGGGCGTTAATTAAAAAAAATCGCATTTTCAAACTATAGCTCTAATAGATATAAAACTTGGCCAGAATATCGTTTGAGTGAGTTCCTGGAAGGTTTTGATTCACAATTGGACCCGGTAGGTGACGCTGTTGTCGAGTTCCAAAAATCACCCGAGCCAAGCCGGGGCGGATCGATAGTTTACTATATAGTAAATATATATAGAGTACTAAATAATATGATAAATGGAACCTTAAGTCCTTAGATATTAAAGTCAACACACTATCCAATCTAAAGGGGTACCCCTTATAATCTAATGCTATCTATAGAGTGAATGCTGTATACCGGGTGTTTGTGAAACACTCCCGAAAACGAAGACAGACGATAGTACTAACTATACCTTTGATCGTGGGTGAGCAATAAAATAGCAACATCTGCAATCACTCTATAGATAGCAATTATGTAGAGAATGCGTTTTTCTAAATCATGGTTTCTAATGAACGAACGATAATTTAATAAGTGCAGCCTGGGGTCAACAGTGGTTAAAGTTGTGAACTCTTTTATCTGCTTGGCGCCGTAAGTATTGCAATGTAAGTTTCCCAATTTAATTAGCTTTTATTTAATTTTTTGTGGAGCAAGTGTTTTTGTTTATTCTCTTCCGATTACATGAACCGTTACAGCCCTATTAGAGTCCACTATTAAACATAGGCCTCCTCCACAGATTGCTTTGTAGGGGGATATTTACCACAGTTGCTACGCTCGTCAAGCAGGTTGGCAAACGCAGTTTTTTATTTTTAGTCGTTATTACAGTCGCTGCTGCCCATCTCCTGATTTGTTTCTTTCTGTCACGTCTTACGAAACCCACGAGACGATATGGGTTAGTGAATAATTACATGAACAGAATTATATCACAATACCTAAAAGCATCTTCTCCCTTGCGGATATGTCTGTTGTATGATGTTTTTATGTATTAGGTTATGAGATATGAAATTCTTAGGATATTTTTATGTATTTACTGAGAAATAATTGTTTATAATAACGTTCTGGAAACGAAATCTATGTATTTCTGAAGCTCCTTATACGTAGAGTAGCAGGGAAGAGTATGTTGCAAACTAAACTGAAACTAGTTAAGAGGGTAGTACCAACAAAGGCAGACTCATAGGCAGAAACAGACCTCTATCACATAGTATGTTCCACATAATGCCCTAATTTAATGCTTTATATATGTACTTTAGTTTTTTAAATATCCGCAATCCATAAAGACATTTTTAATACAACTTAATTTTTTTTATTTTATGATAATATCTTATTTACTTCATGTATATTATCCTGAACTTTCCTGATTATCTATCGTCTAAATTCCATCCCTACAAAACTACTATTCATTCGCGTTACTAGTTTCCCTTTTTATATTTGTCATTGGCATAGTGGTTAAAACCAAATTCCATAATCAATTAAAAAAAAACATACAAAATGTTAAAGGAGACGGGAGATGTATGTCAGGAACGACTCAAATGGAAGTCCATGGTCTCTGCCTACCCCTCTAGGTGACAGGCGTGAGTGTAATATTTTGGTGTTTTACTTACGGATATCTCTTGCGACCGCGGCCAGTTGTAAAACGTGTCTAGTTTCATGAGCACATTCGGGTGCCGGGTTGAGGGTTACAACAACGCTGACCGCTTCCCCACGAGCGCCCGACAAGCCAGCGCCAAGAAGACGCGTTAGCTTCGATTCCCTGTAGAAAAAATATTATAATTAATAGACTACTATGGTGGTGTGGTGGTGGCAACTCCCATCTCTCCATCTTGTACATGTTCATAGTAATAAAACGACAGAGGGAAATACCCGACAGATCATCGAAGAATTTTAGCACCGTTGCAGTATATTAATGGCTACATAGGCATTTTACAATCTGCCAATAAATAGTATCGCTTATTGTGTTATTTTTTAAAATTAAATTATTATATTTATTTATTTTTTTAATTAGATGGCGCGGGACTGTGCTGCACAGCGATACGACACGACACGGTACGTACCGGCACGGCATGAGCACGTCTCTAACGGCGCGCTGCCGCCTGCGCAGTGTGCGCAAGCAGCGCTCCAGCACGTGTAGCGAGGAGTTGATGGCGCGGGACTGTGCTGCACAGCGACACGACACGACACGGTACGTGCCGGTACGGCATGAGCACGTCTCTGCCGGCGCGCTGCCGCCTGCGCAGTGTGCGCAAGCCGCGTTCCAGCTCGTGTAGCGAAGAATTGATGGCGCAGGACTGTGCTGCACAGCGACACGACACGACACGACACGGTACGTACCGGTACGGCATGAGCACGTCTCTGCCGACGCGCTGCCGCCTGCGCAGTGTGTGCCAGCAGCGCTCCAGCACGTGCAGCGAGGAGTTGATGGCGCAGGATTGTGCTGCATGCACAGTGACACGACACGACACGGTACGTACCGGTACGGCATGAGCGCGTCTCTGCCGGCGCGCTGCCACCTGCGCAGTGTGCGCAAGCAGCGTTCTAGCACGTGCAGCGAGGAGTTGATGGCGCGGGACTGTGCTGTACAGCAACACGACACGGTACGTATCGGTACGGAACGAGCGCGTCTCTGCCGGCACGCTGCCGCCTGCGCAGTGTGTGCCAGCAGCGCTCCAGCACGTGCAGCGAGGAGTTGATGGCGCAGGACTGTGCTGTACAGTGACACGAAGGGCACGATACGTACCGGTACGGCACGAGCGCGTCTCTGCCAGCACGCTGCCGCCTGCGCAGTGTTCGTAAGCAGCGTTCCAGCACGTGCAGCGAGGAGTTGATGGCACGGGACTCGGCCAGTCGCGCGCCGGCGTTACGCGTGCGTCTCACGCGCTCGCACCCCGCCAGATCACACAGACGTACGCTCGACACGCGGCAACCCACATCTGCCAAATTACGTTTTTAACATTTCCATCTTTTTATACAATAAGGTTGACAAATAAGTACACAGTCCACCTGATTTTAAATGGATGCTGTGGTCTATTGATATTTAAATTTATTCTCAATTCATCAAAATGCAGGTGCATTGTCATTTCTGAGGACAATTCACCTGCATCCCCGTTTCCAGTAAAAACTTTCTAAAAGGTCTCTACATTTACCATACAAATCACAGCAGCATGAAGCTGCTATTCTGTGAGAGTATGGTCTTACAGAATAGCACTTCAGATGACAGCACCCACTTACCATCTGGTGTTTCACTAGGTTGTTTGTCACCCTTATCAAAACTATCATAGGTTAAAATATAACAGAATCCTTACACCATTAGAGAAAAGACTTTGACTTATGAACATAATACTCCATAATCATCTCTAGCTTAAACTTTTTGAATGAACTCAAGTGATTGAGTTCTAGTAACTACAAATTGCTATAAAATATTTTTTAAACATTGTTGGCGCCATCTAGTTCATTTTATATAATGCAATTTTTTAAATTTACCGTCCTTTAAGTTCCTATATTTTCGGGCGTTCGTATCTCCTCACCTGCACGCTAGTATGTAATGAGAGAATGCTAAGAACTGTCACGCAAGTCGGTCAATTGAAGGAGAAGCAACCGCGCCGCATATAAATTATTTATAAGACAATCAAATTAGTGATTAGTGAAGTTTTGTGTCCGCAAAAGAGAGGAAGAAGCGTTAGGTCGTCTGTACTTGATGAAACCTGCCTCCGGAGGGTGGAAAATCTATGAGTGCGGCGGTGACAAGGTAGGCGTGCAATTTATTTAACTAACACCCTTTCTCTCAACCAGCATCCTTTTACAATCCAGGATAGAAGACCACAAGCTTCGCTAGTTAAACTCTCTCTCCAAACCACATTTTTTGGTCCATTTCGAGCCGCATTCTCCAACATATTTTTGGTTCATTGTGAGCCAGATATTACCGCAATTTTATACTGTATAACTAGCTATATTTTTTCACCCACGTGGTGGTAACCCTCTATCCTCACTTCGCAAATTGCTGCCTTATAAATTCAATAAGAATTTCAAGCAGTTTCCCATCGCCCTTATTAATAGTGTTGCCTACATAATCTACATTATATATTATATTTACCGCTTAGGCATACTATTAATTGCATTTATATACTTAACCTATTACCATATATATTATATATATATTAACTATACATATATCTCTCATATACACATTATATATTTAATTTATTTGTAGACATTACATTAACAATTATATGCGTCATTATTAGCGTTTGAACTTAGCATAACGATTCGCCTCGCTTATTATATCTACCCTCTTGATTTCAAATATTAAACTCGTTGATTTTATAGATCTTTTATACTTATTATTTATTTAAATACGTTGACATGGCAACTAAAGCGCATATTAATGAGAATAAACAATTGGCCATTCTTTTAGCAAAGCGTAACGCATTGTTCGAATGTGTTCAAAGTATTTATGAACAAGCTAAGATTGCCCACTTATCTCAAGATAATATAGCTAAATTTCTTAGTTCTTGCATAACGTTGGACGTTATTCGAGTAGATTTTTGGATGATTTTGGATTATCATTTTGGATGAGTAGCAATTATTAATTAGTGAGCCTAATGCTCAACTCAGCTATCAAAATCGATCGTTCGAGGATCTGTACTGTTCTATTAAAAGCATTATGATGAAGTTTTCGAATTCATCACTGTTCGCGCCAAACGCTGTTGTCGGAATCGACGTCTAGGGGGCGCGCGGCTCGGTGCCATACCGGTTTGACAGTTGGATGTGTCGAGCGCGCGCGAGTGCAAGTCAGTCGTCTGCCAGCTGTGCTTGGGACAGCACGCTGTCATTTTTTGTCGGGAACTCGGAATAATTAGGCGCGGCTCGTAAAAGTACTGTCTAGGATTTGTGACGCGTATTCCTTGCTGTAGAGCTTCCCCGGGACTCATTGAGTTTGACTCGGAATCTGTATAGGTGCATTCGACAATATTATCTAGTGCGGCCTTTGATATTATAGAAATAACTGTTGCTACGCGAAACGGTAGTGACCTTTGATCCGGACACTCCGTGTTCGTTTTGTGCGTTAACCTTATGACAAACGAGAGTTAGTGGCTTTTGTAAGTTAGTTAATCGTACGATAGAGTTAATGAACTGTCATCGTGACGAACGAGGAAAGTGACCGTGGCCAACGCCGCGGAAGACCTCAATTTGGAGCAGCTTGGAACTCGGCGGCTGCTGATCGCCTATGCTTGCCAAGGCCCCACGCATTCACACCTCACTGTACACTACTCGCCATCCACTATTACACACACTCACGGCCTGCCCAAGCCTTGGTGCGAAGTTAGCTTCGGATAATGGTAAGTACTACGTGTTTCTAGCTTTCTCCCTTATTGTTTTGTGTAACTAGAGATTTTCCACTTTGGCCTTAGGAGGCCCGACTTACGTCTGCTCGTCGAAACTCAGCTGAATGGGCCCCTGAGGATTTGACCTTTATGGGAGCAGCCGTAGGCCGTAACAATCACAGTCAGATAGCACCAATACCACGACTCTTAGATCTAAGCCTAGACTCCCACCTATAGAATTAGTAGCGTTTGACGGAGATATACGGAACTGGCCATTGTTTTATGCCAGTTTTAAATCGACAGTTCATGATAACCATTCACTCACCGATGCAGATAAGCTTTATTATTTATAATTTTTTTTATAGGATAGGGTGACAAACGAGCACACAGTCCACCTGATGGTAAGTGGCCACTGCGACCCATAGACATCTACATCTATCCTCAATAAAGACTCAAGATGCAGATGCGTTGTCACCCGTGAGGACTAAGATGGAATGCCTCTTTGCCAGTAAAAATGGTCTCCGGTTCTCTACACTCACCACACGAAACACAGCAGCGTTAAGCTGCTATTTTACGCTGGTTTTGTGTGAAAGCGTGGTCCTTCCCCGGTCCAGCAGACCCATTCGTGCTACAACTAGCTGATTAAATATATATTTAATTCATGGGAGAGTTCACAGGATGCTTTGGGTATATTTTGTGACCTATCCAAAGCCTTCGATTATGTTCACCATGAAACATTAATCAGGAAACTTCAACACTACGGTGTAAGAAGTGATGCTCTTAAATTAATTATTTCATATTTAAGTAAGAGAACGCAAAAAGTTGTCATTAACGGTATGAGTTCTTCCGGGTCGATGGTACAAATGGGCGTGCCTCAAGGCTCAATTCTCGGCTCATTTCTGTTTCTTGTATACATTAATGACTTACCTTACATAGTAAGAGATAACCATGATATAGTATTATTTGCAGATGACACTTCTTTAATTTTCAAATTAAGTCGAGAATTGCTAAAATATGACGAAGTAAATAATGCTATATCTAAATTAGTAAATTGGTTCAATGTTAATAATTTGCATTTAAATGGCACTAAAATGAAATGTATGAAATTTATGACTCCAAATGTCAAACAATTAAATACTAATGTAATTTTAAATGGGGAGAAACTGAGTCTTGTAGATACCACCATTTTTCTTGGAATCACACTAGACGCGAAGCTTCAATGGAGGCCCCATATATCAAAACTAGCAAGCAGACTTAGTTCTGCAGCATATGCCGTAAAAAAGATTAGAAGTCTAACTAGTGTTAAAACAGCTAGACTAGTTTACTTTAGCTATTTCCATAGCATAATGTCGTATGGTATTTTGCTATGGGGACACGCAGCTGACACTGAAATTATATTTGTTTTACAGAAGAGGGCCATAAGAGCAATTTATGATTTAAAGCCTAAAGAGTCGCTGCGACAAAAATTTAAGGAAATTAATATATTAACTTTGGCCTCTCAATACATTTATGAAAATGTAATGTACGTACACAAAAATAAAAGTAGTTTTACAAAAATAAGTGATATTCATTCTGTAAATACTAGGAACAGACACAAGCTAGTAGTACCAGTTACTCGACTCCATCGAGTCAGTAATTCATTCTTGGGGCGATGTATACGCTTTTACAACAAAATTCCAGAAAATATACAAAATTTGACCTGCTCAAAGTTCAAAACCTTTATTAAACTAAGTTTGTATAAAAAGGGTTATTATAATATTAATGAATTTATAGATGATAATAACCCCTGGAAATGAGGTGATCGCTACCAAGCTATTTCTAATTTGTTGTGTTGTTAATTTGTGCAACATACATGATTGTAAGCTGTTATTAAAAAAAAAGTCCCGCTGGGTTTCTTGCTGGTTCTTCCCAGGACAGAGGTTTTTTTTCGAACCAGTGGTAATCATAGGTAATCATAATCAAGAGTGACTTTCAATAAGTATTATTTATAATCTATATTGAATAAAAAAGTTTCTGTTTCTGTTTCTGTTACTATACCACTAATATAGCTGCAGCATGGCTCTACCACGTATGAAAAGGTTGTATTAGGAAAACAGTCACCAAAGGCTCAGGCTGTGTTCTCGGGCGTAACTCCTAGCGCTGATAACTATAATATTATATTTCAATTTCTTCTCGATAGATATCAGGACACTCGTATTTTGGCATCGACCTATTTGGATCAAGCTCTTAATCTAAAACTAACAGGCCAAGCTTCCGCTGCGAATTTTGAATTATTCAGGGATAAGTTTGTAACGGCGGTAAATTCTTTAAAGAATTTAAACATCGAGAACCTGTTAGACTATATACTTTTACACATAGCTTTAAAGAAATTCGACACTGAAATCGTACGCTCCTTTGAGATGTATTCTCGTGAACATAAAATACCTTCATTTGAACAATTTATTAATTTTATTAAAGATCAAAACCGTATATATCGTAACACTCAAACTAACTCTGCTGCGTCTAACTATAATTCTTCTAAACAAAGGTATGAGAAAAAATCTCGCAATTCTTCGGTTCGTAATCCACAGACGTATGTCTTAGGTTCGCAGTCGGTCAAGTGTCTATGT